ATTCTATGAAGATAACATATTTTTCAGAAAAGGTATTAAAATAATTTAACATTTCTTTATCTATTTCATGCTCTACTTCAATTACATAAAGTAATGTCAACTTCACTCACCATTCCCTAGGTAAATTTCACACTAACAAGAGACTAGCAATTAAGTTCAGCTATAATAATATAATTGGTATCATAAAAGACTTCTGAACAAAGTTTCAACCACTTGCATTTAGATCACTGTTGTTTATATTCAAAGAAGGCTCACAGATACGGTTTTGACTGTTATTATTTAACGACAGTGACTTTTATGGCTTCTGTTTCAAATAGAAAATAAACCATTTTATCCAATCATTATACTTTTCCTTCCTTCATATATTATCTTCTTTAAATTTGGATTACTACTAAAGTAAAGGAAAGGTATCCTTTCAACAAAGACAAGTCATCGGTTTAAAGAAAAAAATTCACATTACCTTTTACACAAAGTATATTCCTCGCTGCTTGTGATTCCCCTAGGTGGTGGGCGGAAATGCCAACCGTTACAAGACCCTAGGGAGTAATCAGGATATAGTCTTACCATTTGAGGACAGTTAGTAATTCTGATATTTTAATGTGTAAGAAATACTACAATCCCTCTACACACATCATCCAAGATGATGTAAAAAAGGACATGACGTACTTGCCTCTACCAAAAAAGTAATCTATTAATCAACCAAGTTAAATCAATCAACTCTATGAAACATAGAAATCACTGAAGAGGTAGTTACCCAGAAGTTAAATCAGGCTGGTGATCCTGCCTCTGGCCTAGCAACTGGTGGACATATTTCCAGTGCCATCACTTCCCCTAACAACTCAAGAGGAGAGGCTGGCATGCTTATCATTTCTTAGGCATGGGATGTGTGTCTTTTAGGAATTCCTTCAGGAATGAAAAAATTATTGTAACCTGGAAGGAAATCTTAATAACAAATTCTACTACCGCACATTGAGTGAGAAACTACAACTAGACATTATCATCCATGTTCCTTAGGATTCATCTGTCACATGTTACTATATAATGCAATCCTTTATCATAATTTAAATAAAGTTCAAAAAGTTGAATTCAGAGATAGGAGCTAAAAATTAACATCTGTTTACTTCTAAATACAATGAGCTTCGATTCGTGTAGATAAGAGGTTCCAAAGAAGCCAAGGAAGATAAGGATTAAGAGAAAAAAGGCGAGAGCTATAGAGACTGAGCAGCAGTAAGTTTTCAAAGACCTTATAATCATTTTCCATTTTTTTCACACGTCAATGGGCCCGTAAAAAAAGGAAAAAAAAATATTCAGCGAGGTTGAGTTTAAAGCTGTGCTTCATCCCTTACTAGCTGTGTGACTTTGGGGAAACTACTAACCTTAATAAATACCAGTTTCATCACCTGTCAAAAAGATGAAGGACTCTAATAAGTCAATACATGTTTTGAGAAAGCCACTACCAGAGTAGACAGCATTTAGCAAGCAGTCAATGAATAACAGTCTCTCTTCCTTTTCCTCTGGTGAGAGGAGAGGAGATCATGGACTTTAATTAGGGCAGGAACAACTCAGATTATGGATCAGAACTTCCAAAAAGTAATTAATTGTACTAGCCTAGGATAGAGAGAGAAGAAAAGTCCTCCCTCTACAGATTACTAAGAATGATGTTTCAATTTAGTCCTACATGGAGGCAAGAAAATGAACAAAATGACCTCTGGAGTTACCTCCTACCTCTTTTACATCGTTACTCTACGAAAAGGTGCCAGGGAGAAAATTGCTTTCATCCACACCTACTTCTTAAAATTCAATTTTTATATTCTCTCCTACATCTCCATTTACATGTACCATTACTCAGTAAATTTTCTCCCAGTAATCAATAAAAAAGCAAAGCCCAGAATCACAGCTATCAGAAGTGACAGAGTTTCGCACTTACCCTCATCTAAGTCTTCCACATGATATCCAGAGAGGACATTACAAGTTGCTGTCTGCAATTTTCCAAATGAAAGACATTTTTTTAAAATAAGAAATAACGAGTTGATGTTGAATTAATTTCAGACATTATCAACATTAAAAAAAAAGATGGAGTTTGGAAATTTCCAAATACTTGGAAATTTTTAATAACATTAATATGTTGCAAATGACATTTTCTGCTCTTTGTTCTACGTTAAACTGTAATACGGAAAAGAAGTACTTACGAGGCCCTCATTAAGGAGGCCAATAGAGACCCTCTATGTAAATATTAGATGGGAGCAGAAGAGACCTCTAAGTCCCCAGTCCTGAGCCCCATGGGACAGCACCTTCCATCCATTTATTCATTCCACTTTCCTCTTCTTAACACTTAGAAAATGACCTCTTACAGAGGTGCCTTTTTTTCCTGCAGCCAATGGCACACTTCCACTTTGGGTCCTGGAAGCACTTTCTGCCAAGTCCTCTACAGCCCCCCACTCTGAGATGAGCCCTTCTGCAACAGTGGAGTCCAAGGCTGGGGATCCATTTGCTCTAAGCTGCTCCAATAAACCCCCAGTTTATGTTTTTGGCTCTAGCTTTATCCTGAGCTCTACATACCCAATCTCAACTGAATGCCAACCATAGCAGTTTTTCTTAACTGTTCTGTAACATTTTACATGCTGGATCACTGTCAGCTATGTACAGACTTGTTGTTAACAAGCTGCAAATGCCTTTTTCCATTCCCGAACCTCCCAAAGTATCTGGCACATAATAATGGGTGCTCAGTAAATGCTGGATGGATGACCATCTAAGCACTGTAAACACAATATGCCCAAAACAAAATTCATCAACTTTACCCCAAATCTAATCTCCTTCAGAGTTCCTTATCTAGAGTTAATGGATTCTTCTTCCCCAAAGAGAATCAGACTGAAATTTTGAAAGCCATCTTGAACTCTTTCATCCTGCTCTAAGTATTTTCCAAAGCTTGCCCAAGCAGGTCTAGGATGTCTCTGATCCTGTCTCTGTCTCATACTCTACACTGCCACTGTCCTAGGTAAGGCCCTCATTACCACTTGTGTCTCACCTATCCCCGACCCAACTATTTGCCATTCCTGTCCTGTACCAAGTCACCTCTAGGTCTTTACTGAGCTGTCCCCATCTTCCAAACTCAGTTCCCACATTCCTGCCTCCAGAATTTCCCCGCAGAGTATCCTCCTTTCCCTGCCTGTGTTTTGTTATAGCACTTACTGACCACAGGCTGCCCTGCGTACACATTAGCTATGTGCATCTCCAACAGGCCCACCACATTGCTTTTCATGGACATCTCAGCTTTCCAGAGACTTGAATAGCAGCACAGGTGCTCAGTAAATATTAAACTGAATCGGAAGGGGGAAACAGTATCCCAAGATGAAATTTGGAATGTCTTAAACCATAGAAAGAATGTTATAAATGCTAACTGGGTATAACTGAAACAATATACTATGACTACAATTTATATGTGGTTGATTAAACTGGACTTTTCAGACTGAGCTTGAACTAAAACAACATAATACTATGTCTAAAGGAAAATGCCTTTTGATTCTCAGTCCAGTACTTCCTAGTAAGTTGTCAAAAGATAACCCATTCTTTTTGTAAAATGAAGGCTTGAATCTAAGAATACATAGACAAATTAGGAGTAATTATTCATATCATAAGCATTCTATGCTTCACAAAAAAGATTAAAAGATCTTCTTAAATTCTACAAGCAAGGTCTATGTCCCAAACTAGCCCTTAAAATATGATTCCATTCACATAACATATATAAAAAGAAAAGCTAACAGTTCACTGCAAGTATGAAAATTTTAAAGTATCTCCTCTTTAAAACTTATCAAAATAAATTTACCAAACTTATTTTTTGATGACAATAAAAAGAATGGAAATAAAATGTTTTGGTCATAAAATAAAGCCTAAAACACTTAATTGTTGACTGGTGCATTTCACCAGTCAACATCTGAGCCAATCAGCAGGCAGAGTGTTCCTGTGCCGACACCACAGTTCTCAGTCCAGTGGGGATTGGGGAACAGCACATCCTCATCAAAAGAGCTGGTAAAGTAAAGAGTGCAGTCTGGCTGAGTATCTGGCCATCCTGGCTTTTAGGTTCCAAGGGGCTGTGTTTGTTTTTTAAGCACTCTTTTTATGTACTCACACCCTAAGACAGAAGGGCACTATCAATTAGATTATGATCATCAGTCTTTACTGACACCTTCAGGGAAAACAGCCAAAGATTACACTGTTGGAACTCCTATATAGTCACAATCAAATCTATTGATTAGATATATTTTAAATTTCACTAAAGAATATTTATTGTTTTTGTTTCTATGAATCAGCTTTTAGTTCCAAGTCTTTATTCTCGTCCACTAGCATTTACAAGTTAAATGCTAGCTCAGCCCAATCTCTAAATAACAAATTGTTGCTATTTTTAAATGTGTCATATGCAATAATAAATAAAGGTAGCATTGTTTGTTAGCTTTTTCTAGATGGATATCTTTTAATAATATCAGTTCAGGAATCTAAAAGAATACTACTCTAGTTACATAGAAAAGAAATTATAAACAAAACTTAAGTCACTTCTTCCAAAACTACAGTCACAAAATAAGAGTCAAGCAATATTTGTGGGCTTAAATGTAGTAAGATTATAAACATTAAAAACAAAATTTTTTAATATTTGCATGTGATTATCAGATGTAAAGCTGGTAATTAAGGCAATAAAACAGAAG